AAAAAAAAAAAAAAAAAAACAGAACAAAAGGCAGAAACAAACCAACTCTTTGGTTCATTCTTCTAACTTATAAGCCATTATTAATAATAATAATAATGGTGAGTTCCTGCATTTTTCCTTTCACAAATAAACCCTTCACATTTCTTTATTATTCCAAACAATTAATTTAATTAATCAGCTGAAAAATTTTAATAATTACACATAATGAAACAGGGGGAAGAAGATGGAGAGGCAGTGTACAACTCTGAGGCTGCAGTGTACAACACCCTAAAGCTAAGCCCTTTCAAAATCGAAGGCAAAGGAGGATTCAGAGCTACTTCTTTCATATACGGTAAAGACTTCGATTTTTTTTTTTTTTCGAAAGATGAATAATTTTTGTAATTTTATAGTATTATTTTTAGGAATATTCTACATTCACGTTACGGAACCACTCCATCGGGATTTGCAACCATTAAATCAACTATCTATGATGGTTACATGATAATCTAACGGTTACAAATTCTGACGGAATGATTCTGTAACGAGATTGCAACATTTTTCTTATTTTTATATGCATTAATTGTGATAGTTTTGACGGGGTTGGAGAACGTGGGCGTGGTCGCGAACATGGTGAGCCTCGTGCTCTATTTCTCGTACAAGATGTATTTCGATCTGTCCACGTCAGCAAACACTCTGACCAATCTGCTCGGATCCACTTATCTCCTCTCCGTCGTCGGCGGCTTTTTTTCCGACATTTACATCACCAGGTTCAAGTGCTGTCTCATTTTCGCCGCCGTCGAAGTCTTGGTAAATTATTTTAATTAATTCCTCTAAAGGACTAAATTGTAATTTTAATTCTGTACGTTTTACTACTTTACATTTTTCGTTTTAATTGTGTTTTTTTATTTTTGTTCCGTGTGTTTTGAAAAAAAAAAAGTTACAAAAAGAATCTTCTTCGCAATAAAAATGTCCTTTATTTTGTTCAAAAAAAAAAAAATTCAAATTTCGTCCTTTATGTGTGGATTTTTGTAATCTTTCAGCAAACATACTGGACGAAAATAAAAAACGCAATTCGACGAAAAAGTTAGGATAATGTAGGACAATTTACTCAAACTAATGTAAAACTAAATAACTTCCAATTAATGGGAAAAGTTCAAAAAAAAAATGAAAAAATGAAAAGGTTTTAGTATGATAATTTAAATTTCTTTGTATCTAGCGGGCTATGAGTGGCTTTATCAGTAGTCCATCTTGGGTTGTTTTGTGTAGCATGTGGCCATGTGGTCTGATGATCTGAAAAGCAATAAAAACAGACACAATCATTCTTCTCTATACCTCAAACATATTGCTATTACATGTGTGTGGATGTAAGACACCTAATTTCACAATAATTAATAATACCAAAATTTCATAAACATACAAATCAATGATTATACATACATAAATAAACATTTTTCTTTTAAATAATCTTAAAAAGTCGGCCGGTGGTCGGTGCAGGCGCTGTCGATGATGGCCATTCAAGCCCACACGGCCCGCTTGCTACCCGAACCGTGTGGGAAATCGAGTTGCGTGAAGGATGGCGTGGCAGTGTATTTCTACTCGACAATGTGTTTGCTGGCGCTCGGCATTGGCGGGCTGAGGGGCTCGTTGCCCGCGTTTGGTGCCGACCAATTCGACCCGAAGGACCCGAAAGAGGGCAAGGGACTCGCGAGCTACTTCAATTGGCTGTTGCTCAGTTCGGTTACCGGTGGCTCGATTGGGGCTACGGTAGTCGTTTGGGTGGCGACGAACAAGAGCAATCAGAACTGGTGGAAGGGGTTTCTGATTTCGGCGGCCGGGACGTTTGTGGGTTTGGTGGTACTTGTGGTCGGGAAGCCTTTTTATAGGCTTCACGTCCCTAGAGATAGTCCTATTACAAGAATCGTGCAGGTATGCGTGAGAATAATGTGTAATATGATATGTCCTATTCGAATGTTGAGTTCACTGTTCTTGGAATATCACGCGTGAGTTGTCTCACAATGATTCTATAATTATGCCTTAGGTTATTGTGGTGGCCCTGAAAAATGGGAGATTGCCTCATCCAGAGAGCCCAAGTGAGCTGTATGAGATGAACGAGAAAGATTTAGATCCAACTGCACAAAGAATCGCGCACACTCAACAATTCAGGTAGTATTTTAATTCCACATATCATATCATATATCAACAAAAGAAGATATGCAATATTTTAACTTTAATTTTCATCTTTCAAAAAAAAAAATAAATAAATAAATAAATAAAATGCAATGCTTAGATGGCTAGACAAAGCCGCAATCCTCCGTCCGAACACGCGCCCATCCCCATGGTCCGTATGCCCAGTAAGCCAAGTGGAAGAAGTGAAGGTCCTCACCCGCATGCTCCCGATCATCGGCAGCACCATAATCCTCAACACCTGCATGGCCCAGCTCCAGACGTTCTCCGTCCAGCAGGGCTACCGCATGGACCCTCGACTCGGCCCATCCTTCCGCGTCCCACCAGCTTCAATCCCTGTCATCCCCCTCCTCTTCATGGTCCTCCTCATCCCACTCTATGACCGCGTATTCGTGCCCGCCGCCCGTAAATTCACCAACCACCCGTCCGGCATCACCCAACTCCAGCGTGTCGGTGTGGGGCTTCTCCTCTCCGCCCTCTCCATGGCTGCCGCGGCCTTAGTCGAGGTCAAGAGGAAAAACCGGTCTTTAGCCGACCCGTCGAGGCCCGTCAGCCTCTTCTGGCTCTCTTTCCAGTACGCGGTTTTCGGGATAGCCGACATGTTTACATTGGTGGGGCTGTTGGAGTTTTACTACCGGGAGGCTCCCGCCGGTATGAAGTCGCTCTCGACTTCCTTCGTCTGGATTTCGCAGTCGTTGGGGTACTTCTTGAGCAGCGTGTTTGTGAACGTGGTTAATTCGGCGACGGGTTGGCTGAGCGGGCAGGACTTGGACCGGAACCACCTGAACCGGTTTTATTGGTTTATGGCGGTCGCGAGCGGGGTTAATTTCGTAAATTACTTGTTTTGGGCGGTGTGGTACAAGTACAAGAGGGACGACGAGGGGGTGGTGGGGGTCGCGGATGCGGCGTCCACGCCCGAGACGGAGATTGGTGGGCACGTGCCGTTTCTCAAGGTGGCCAAAGAGGGAGAGAGTATGGAGCTAAGGAAATATGGAATGGAAGGCTAATTAGTGATGTGCGTGACTGAAATGGTACATATGGTAGCGTGGACGTTGAGTCTTCATTTGCTTTTACTTTACTTTTTTTTTTTTCTATTTTTTATTCTTTTTTTTTTTGTTTTAATTTATTGGTTTTGAAGTGTGTGATTTTGATCTTGTTCTAAGGAGTGTGGCTATGGAGATATATGTCTCATGTGTGTACTGGTTGGTGTTTTCATACGTAGGTTTCATTCAATTGTAAAATTGATTGAAGACAAGTTTGGTATTTGCATGTTAATGAATGAAGAATTTGAATGAAGAGAGTGCTCATTTATAAAGAAATAATGGGAAAAAACTGCAGTCCCGTCACGGGATAGTTCCGTGAGGGATTTTAGTCATAGTTAATTATTATAAATAATCTATGACTAAAATTTCTCACGGAACCATTTCTTGATGGGACTGTTGTCTTTTCCGAAATAATGACCCCATCGTTTCCTATTTTATTTAAAATAATGAAATAATTTATGCGCTCCTTGTGCTCTCCGAATTTTTGTTCTGCGAAGAAGTATGTCTAAGAGATGTATGATATAACCCTTCAGGCCCCGTTTGTTTTTTTCTGGGATAGGATTGTATTAATTAATGGGTAAATTGCGCCAAACCCCCCTGTATTATACGAAATCTGCGCATTACCCCCTGTATTTTAAAAATTGCGCCATACCCCCTTCTATTATATTTCTGCTTGCGCGTTATCCCCTAAACCGTCTAACTTGACGGATGTGCATCTCACGCGCGTGTGGTGCGGCTTTTTCTCCATTTTTTCGCCATAAACTGAATGAAATGACTATTTTGCCCCTTAATAGCTGAATTAAATTGAACTCTTTCGCTGAGGCTGTTCTTCAAATCAAATCGCACGAGAGGGAGGCTGTTCTTCAAATCAAAATTGAACTCTTCAAATTTTTTTCCTTCAAATCGCAAGGCTTTGAGGTAAGCTTTCGCAATCCAAATCGCTTTGAGGTAAGCTTTTGCAATCTAAACCTCAGAAATTGAAACCTTAATTTTGTGCATTTTCGAAATTGAAATTATGGTTTCAAATTAGGTCATTTACGAATTTGAAATCATTTTTTGAAATTAGGGTTTCAATTTGTTGAGGCTCAGTATAGGGTTTGCTGTTTGTGAATTCATTTTACAGAAATCAGGTTTGTTTGTCCCAATTTTTTCGAATTAGGGCATTTTCGCATTAGGGCACTTTTCGAATTAGGGCATTTTTTGAATTAGGGCATTTTCAAATTAGAGCATTTTTTGAATTAGGGCATTTTTTGAATTAGGGCATTTTCGAATTACAGAAATCATCTTTGATTTTGCAAATTAGGGCATTTTCGAATTATAATATAAAATCAGTATTGTTTTGTTTGTCCCATTTTTTATTTTTTTTTATTATTTTTTTTTTATCTTTTCCATGTAGAAGATGTCTTCCCAAAAATCAAAGATGTCAAAGAATGAGAGATTGGATCTTAGGTATAAGCATCCTAAGTGT